CGTGGCACCCAAATCGGGAGCTCAGGGGGAGTTTGAGGCCCTAATAGACTTGGGCTGCACCCGATGCTTAATAAGCCTGCCCACAGTGCTGAGGCTGGGAGTCCAGGTGAGGAGGCTATCCAGGGCCATGATGTTTGAACAAGTCTATGGCTCACTAATAGGAGGAGCTACAGTAACCCATGTGACCGAACCTGTGAAGCTGGAGATGGGTCAGCACTGGGAGATGGTCCGGTTTGTGATTGTCCCAAAGATGACAGAAGCTGTGATCTTGGGACTAGCCTGGCTAGACAAGTGGGGCCTGACGATATGGTGGGAAGGAGGGAACAGGAAATTGAGGTTGGGAAGAGGCCCCTTCCCTCTCCCACATGACCGGGTCATGCCAGCAGAGGACAGGAGCTGCAGAGGACAGGAGCTGAGGACCCAGAGCACTTAAGGGCTGGATCAGATCAGCTGCCAGGGACCCAGACCATCCCCATAGAATACCAGGACCTGGCAGAGGTGTTCAGGGAGGAGGAGTGTGACGTGCTACCCCCTCACAGGCCCACAGACTGCACAATTGAGATCTTTTCAAGGGCAAAACTACCCAAGCCCAAGATGTACTCCATGACACCCAAGGAGATGAAGGAGCTGAGGCAGTACAACAACAAAAACCTAGCCAGGGGCTTTATCCAGCCGGCTAAATCCTGTGTAGCAGCCCAGGTTGCCCCCCTCCTCGAATGGTATGACTGTTGTGTGCTTTTAAGTTATGTATTGTTATGTTCATCTTTTTTATTCCCTCTGTACCCCCTTCCCTGATTTGAATTGTGAGCCGCCCTGAGTCCCCTTCGGGGAAAAGGGCAGCATATAAATGTAATAAATCAATCAAATCAATCAATCAATCAGGTCCTGTTCAAGGAAAAGAAGGCTGGGACAATGAGATCATGCATAGACTTTAGGGGAATCAATGGTGTGTGCATGGAGAACATGTACCTCCTCCCCCTCATGAAGGACATGCTGGCCCACCTAGCTGAGGGGAAGATATTTACCAAGTTAGATTTGAGAGAAGCATATTATTGCATCAGAATCAGGGAAGGAGACGAATAGAAGACAGTATTTAATTGCCCTCTGGGAAGCTTCCAGTTCAAAGTGATGCCTTTTGGACTACAGGGGCCCCTGCAGTGTTAATGCAGCTGATCAATGAGGTGCTGCACAAGCACTTGTATGAGGGGATCCTAGTTTACCTGGTGACATTCTTATTTTCACTGAGACAGTGGAGGAGCACGTCAAACTAGCCCGCCAAGACCTTAAGAAGCTTCTAGCAGCGAACCTATATGTTAAGCTGTCCAAATGCAAGTTCCACCAGACCCAGATGGACTACCTGGTTTATTCAGTATCGAGTGAAGGGGTGGAAATGGATCCAGGGAAGGTGAAAGCCATTTTAGGATGGCAAGCCCCTCAAACCCGTAAACAACTACAAAGCTTTTTGGGCTTTGCTAACTTCTTTTTTTTTTTTCTAACACATGCTATGTATCCCTCCCCCCCTCCCCCCTAACACCCCACCTCCCTCCCC